CAAATTTGAACCAATCCCCTTTCACACCTCTACGTCTGATTTCATTGAAAAGTCCTACCCTTTGAAACTCCTTGAAGGTAATATTTCCTGATTTTTATCGAGAGTCTTCTTAGGTGACTTTGGTCATTTAAGATGTAATTAACTATAGGGGCTTGCCCTTCTAGGAAGCATATCCGAACCCAACTTAATATAAACCTTATTTAATTCTTTATATTAAATAGGGGAACTTGTCGACAAATACAAAGGTTTCGCAGACCAAACGGAGCATGTATTCCTTAGTTTATTTGATCGAGCCTCATCCTCAAGTTTTGTGTTTATTCTCCGGGATAGATACAGATTTGAGGTACAACGCTCTTTCATTTAAACTATGAAAAATATGGGGTTAGTTTGATTTCATATTTTTCTAAAACTAAATATATATGTAAATTAAAAGTCCTTCCGAAGCGAGCGATGAGATTTCGATTTCGGTGATCGACAGCTTCTTACGGGCAACTCCTAAAAAAAATAGCGCTGACAGTAGGTACTCTTTTGAGCAAGAAATGATGTTCGTGGAACGTTATTTGCAAACCAACATTTGCGGGTGGCTTGGGTTTCAAGCAACTTCATCATATTGCTGAAGTTAATCTTTTTAAGCATTGGATTAATTTTTGGAGTGGTAAATCTTTATGGGCTGATTTTTTATATAAGAAATATTGCAAGAACAATCACCCAACTACTGTGGTGTGGAAGAAAAGGGACTCTAGGATGTGGAAAAGGCTTATTCAGGTTAGAGAATGGGCCAAGGACTTTATTTTTTGGGATTTGGGTTATGGTAATGTTTCGTTTTGGCATGACTCTTGGTCTCAGATTAATTTCATACCTGAGGATGTGGTGAATAATGATCTTATTGTCTTTGATACCTGGTTGAATGATTCTTGGAACCTTCCCTTTCTTACTCATTTGGTAGGGGTTGAAAATGTTGCTTTTATCTCCTCTATTCTTTTGATAGTCAAAAGGCTGATACTCCTATGTTGAAGGTCCAGTCTAATGGTTCTATTTCTAAAACTATATATAATGCGACACATAGTTTTCAGCCAACGCTTTGGGGGAACAACATTTGGAACCGTGCGCTTACCCCCTCGATGTTAATCTTGGCTTGGAGATTGTTTCACCGTTTACTTCCTTGTGACGACATACTTAAACTCAAGGGCTTAAGGATGACTTCCTGTTGTTCTTTGTGTAAAAATCATGAGGAAACCATGGAACATTTATTTTACTCTTGTCTGTTTTCCCTATATATCTGGAAGTTGGGGGGACTGTGGTTTAGCACTACATTGTTTCCGGCGGAAGACTTAATATCCACCACTTTTTTGTGTAACCCGGATCAAAGGAATAATCATTTTCTACAAATTTATCCTTATATTGTATGTTGGTTCTTATGGATGGCCCGGAACGAAGTTAAGCACAATAATGGCAAAGCTATTTTTTCTTCTGTTTTCTCCAATATTTTACCTTATAGCCTTATAGTTTTCAAGTTTTGTGGCATGAAGGGCTCTTTCTACTCTGATATCAATTATTTTGGCTCTTTGGGTCATTCTACTCCGGGACGGATGACACTGTCGCACCTACCAACATTGGTTAGATGGCGTCCTCCGTCTTTGGGGATGGTGAAGATAAATACGGATGGAAGTTGGAGTTGCGGTGGTGCTGTTTTTGGCGGAGTTGCTAGAAACGATAAGGGGTATTGCATTTTATACATCGCATCTCCTTGCTATGATGACTCAGCTTTACAAGCGGAAGCCCACACAATTTTAATGGTGGTTAATATTGTCATTTTATTGAATTGGCATAACCTTCAAATTGAGACTGATTCTAAGATTCTCTATGAGATTTTAAATCTAGGTATGCAGGTGTCGTGGGACATTTCGTACTTTATTAATCGAATTAACCGGGTTCCTTCTTCTATTACTATCGCCTGTAGCTTTATTCATAGGAAGGGTAATAGGTCGGCAAATTTGGCAGCTAAGCTGGGTGATACGACGCCTTCCATTATTGTGGGAACGGTTCCACCCCCTCCATTAAAAGTTTTGATTGATGGAGATTCCCTGGATGCATCTTATGTTCGAAAAGGTTAGGAATGTTAGGGAGTTTTGTGGCTTATTGGTTTTTGACCGACCTTTTTTTTGTAAATCAACAATTACAAGAATTTGATGACGCTATTAGAAGATTTAAATTCCAGCAACGATGCCAAAAACTTGACTGTGACTTTATATATATATATATGTTTGATTTAATAAAGATGTATAGATATGATATTTAATAATGTTAAAGTCGAATTTGTCAACGCAAGTATACGTATCACTCAAGTAATATACGGCTCTAATGGAGTCCTAGATATCGATCCCACAGAGAAAATTGGAATACTATGGACTAAGATTTAATAAAGAGTAATACTTCAACTACAACGATGTTCAAGTTGCTTATCTGTCACTAATAGGCAATTGAAATAAGTAGATAATTTGGATAATAACTAATTATAGAAAATAACGTTTAATTGTGATATTCAATATATAAGAAAGCATTCTTCTCATTGCGAAGAAATTATAGTGATTGGATAAAATGAATTAGTTCAATTTATATTGTGTCAAATAGGAGCATACCTATTCTTTACCCTTTGGTCCAGGCATAAAGAACATTGACTAATCCTATTCTTGGTTACTGATTCTGCGGCTAGACTGGGAGGATACCGGCTCTCACTTCGGAGCTCCCACGTTCCCCTCACCTGAGGACTAACATCTACACATCAAGACCCAAACGATAAAACCGAATTGGAGATTTTAGTCTGTCACTCTAAAATCTTTAATTATACGCCCGATAGTAATATTTCCCTATTTATTTGCACCCAACTTCCAAGGGCTTT